CTCAGATTCAAAGGCAGAGTTTACATTGGTTCTACTGGGTCTCTTATACTCCAAATTCTTCAAGTTTTACATGACTCCCCTCATGGAGGTCATTATGGGACTCAAGCTACTTATCAGAGGATTAGATCATATTTTTATTGGCCTAGGCTTAAAGCTATGGTAGTCACTTATATCAGATGTTGTACAATTTGTCAACAAATTAAGGTGGAGCATATACCTAAACTAGGATTGCTACAGCCCCTTCCTATTCCTCAGCAAGCTTGGGAGGTGATTACTATGGATTTTATTGAAGGTTTACCTACTTCTTTAAGGAAAAATTGTATATTGGTGATAGTAGATAAGTTTACCAAATATAGCCATTTTATGGCATTGTCTCATCCCTACACTGCAGCTGAGGTTGCTAAGCTATATCTAGACAATGTTTACAAGCTCCATGGTCAGCCTAAAATGGCTATTTCATATAGGGATAAAATATTCACTAGTCTCTTTTGGAGAGAACTAATGAAGCAATTGGGTACTATAACTTTATTCAATACTACTTACCATCTTGAAATAGATGGTCAGACAGAGAGGGTTAATCAATGTCTTCAGCAGTATCTAAAAGGCCTCTATTTTTTGCAGCCTAAACAGTGGGCTAAGTGGTTGGTTCATGCTGAGTGGTGGTATAATACTACCTATCACACAGCCTTAAACCTAACACCTTTTCAGGCTTTATATGGTTATAAGCCTCCTACAATGGTTTGACAACCAGATGCTACAGTACATGTTGTGGGTGAATTTATGAAAAGCAGGAAGAAATCAGACAAATGGTGAAATAATAATTAGAGCAGGCTGCTAACTGAATGAAGCAACAGGTAGATAAAAAACGTTCTAAAAGAAATTTTGCAGTAGGGGATAAGGTTTACCTGAAGTTACAGCCTTATCGTGCCCTGAGAAAGAATTTGAAATTAGCACCTAAGTTCTATGGGCCATACAAAATTATAGAAATAATTGAAGAAGTAGAATTACCAGAAACCTCTCGATTGCACCCAGTCTTTCATGTTAGTATGTTGAAGAGGTATATTGGGCCAGTAGTAACATCTTCGACAGAGCCTCCTATGATAGATGGCGAAGGTCAGTTTCACATAGAACCAAGTCAAATTTTGGGAAGAAGAATTATCAATCGACATAACAGGCTAATTACTCAGTTACTCGTTCGATGGACTAACCTGGACACCTTGCATGAAACCTGGGAGGATTATTCAGTGCCTCGTGGCCAGTTTCCGTCTTTTGATCCTTGGGGACAAGGATCCTCTCGAGGGGTGGGTATTGTCTTGGTGGGAGGAGAAGGGCGAGAACACGAAGAGGACGAGAAAGAATTGGGGGAAATGAGACAAGGGTTAGGGATTGAGAATGAAAGATTGGAGATTATGGCACGTGAGGGAAATGAAGATAACTTACCCTCTGGAGCATATCAGAAGGAGTGGAGCGGATCTGAAGCAGCAAGAGCGGCCCAAGAGAATTAATTAGCTAAGCCCAGTAGCCCATATCTACAAAACAAATGAAGAAAGAATGAATTTGTTAGATTCAGTTACAAAGGACTGTCAGCTTAGGATTATGGTATATTGTAACTAAATAAAAATGAGCTTTGATGATGTATTTTTCTCATGTTATGAATGAACAAGCATTTTCTTCTCTGAAATCTCTCTAATTCCTCTCTATTCCTATTACCTATTTCTCGATTTCTCTTCTATTCATCTCAAACCATAACATAGACTTGAATTGTGTTTGTGTATATTAATTTCTCAAGCTAAAATAACAATTTTCAACAAGATTATAAGGCTTGAAAAAAAAATTTCATTTGTTTACATTCACAAACAAAGTCGTTTATGATTCATTTAAATATTGTTTAGAACTATTTATTGTTCGATTATGATATAATAACAAGCTTTTTACTATTATTTCATTATTTATTGATATATTTATTAATATTTTATATTTCTTTTGGGATTTTCAATTTACACTATACTAATTGAAACCCAGTTGTTTTCTACCCCTTCTGAATCAAAACTCCTATCATTGGTTGCCTCTCATGTCATCCCATCCCAATCAGTAGCCAACCACCAGCACCAACAATCATTTCACTCTTTCAGACCACTCATCACTCCATTTTTCTTTTCTTCTTCCTCTTTAGCTGTCCATAGCCCCACACCAGCTGATGTGAACTCATTCAGCAAAGACCCAGAAAAATATCCAAGTGGCCCCATCACACATGTAAGGGCCAAGGAGTTTTAAGAAGCAATGGAAAGCTTGTTTACAACAAGCCATGGACGTGGGAAAGAAAAAACGATAAGGAAGGAATGCTTTACCTTATTCATGTATACATTTGCATGAGAATTTAAGTATTTCATAACTTCCATTGCATTTAATAAAGTGCGCTGATCATTAAAGCATACATTTCATTTATAACTAAGTTCATTTAAGGGAATTAGTTTATTTATGCATCTTAAATAATTCATTAAACTACTTCATTCATGCATTTAGTTAAATTCAATAAAGTTAGTTCATTCATTTAACTAACTCTTTAATTGTTTCATGCATATTTTATTTAAAGTTTGAATATATCCTATATGTGTGTCTAGGTTCATGTGACGTGTAGAATGATGGAGAGACCCTTCAACTTCAGCTTGGAGACAAACCATTGATGATCATCTTTACTCATGCAATCAAGGCAATTCAAAGCTGAAATTTTATCTACACACAAGGGTTGTTCATATTCTTGAGAAGACAATGCATTCAAGCCTCATTATTCACCTAATCAAAGCTGAAATAATCACCCATTGAAGGCATTCACGTGCTAAACTAGAGGACAAGTGATTGAAGGCTATTTTTATTTCATAAAATCAACAAAGGAGACAAACAATGAAGGCTGGAGTTATTTCAATTATTCACTCATTTGAGTGAAGAATTCAACAAAGAATATGAAGGGACAAGCTCATTTGGACATGTAGGATGTCTACATTCATCCTAAGACTACATTCATTCCCTTATTTATTCATTTGCAAGCAAGCAATGCAGCCCAAGAGTCTCTTTTTTCTTTTGGACGAAAATAAGGCTATATACATCTCAAATTATGTCCAAATTCGTTCATTTCCATCTAGAATATTCAGCCACCAAGGGATAAAAAGAAGACAACTCATTTATTTGTATTCAAGAGCATTCATCTTTCTTTTGTGTGACTTTTCATATGGTGCCTATTCACATTATAAATAGGCACCTTAGGATCATTTGTAAGACACCTCTCTTTTGAATTATAAACTCATTGAAAAAATGCTTTCATTTTAATTCTAGCGAGGACTCTATTGTTTCAAGTTGTGCTTGTAATCTTCTATCCATTCCATCTTATATAGCGTTGGTTCCTAGTTCTCTTATAGCTCGTGGGTCTCGTTCCACGCTCCTCCACTTCGACTCCATCACGATATGTTGCTGGTTCCTAGCTCTTTATAGCTAATGTGTCACAAACCGCCATCCTGCAACCATACAAGTCCACCCCACTTTCAACATCTTACCATCACTTTCTTTTGTTTCATTTTCATATTACCACGGCTACCATCTTCCATCCTTAGCCTTCAAACTATCCAATTCATCAAACCAATCCTTTCTTTATCAATTTTATTATATTGATATTCATCTCACATATATGTTTTATGATATTTCAGAGTTCAAAGCGTTGCGACAATTGTTTCTTACTAGAATCACGATCAGGCAAACACACATACGACTCAGAACACACAACCGGGATCATATCACCAGCTAGTATCCAAGGAAGATAAAGACACACAGATATGAATGGCTTCTAGACTGATATTCGTTATCTGCATGTAGAAATTTAAATAACCAGAGGGTTGCTGAATGAATGAATCCAAACCTCAAATAGAAAACAAAATTATGGGAGGGAGCCTTAAAATAATGTTCCAGTTTATTGTGTTGGAAGAATGTTTTGGCTACTTGTGGCAATTTTAAACTTAGCAACAATTTTATTTCCTCGTGCGGATTCAGATGCCATCTCTAGAGCACTGAATCATATCTGTCTGAACTTTAGTGACTAGTGCATATTTAAGTAAATATAATATATGGCAGCTTAAGTGAAGAAAACATTATGGAATTCTGCAAATAAGACAAAGACACCAGGTTTTATCATGCTGAGTAGTTTACTTTGAGAGATTGAAGTCTTTTCAATCATAAGAAAGACTTGCAGGTCTTTTGTGGTAAGTGGCAAGAAAATAGTATGGAATTCTCATTTAATTTAAAATTTTATAGAGTTTTTCATCCAACATTAAGTTTTTATATAGAGTAAAGAAGAGAAAAAGAATTCTCTTCCGAGCTTTGACAAAATTTGAAGGTTATTTTATCTCAACCATTTTTAGGTGAAACAAAATTGTCATATGGAAAATTTTCTTTTGGTTCTTTTGTACTTTTGTATGGCTGCAGTGCAAACATGGAGATTGTGCTCCCCTGAAACTTAAAAAGTGAAGATTTGTGTTTCAAATTTTATTGGACTTCACAATTGAAGTTTAGTAGTTGGATGCTCTCACTTGTAACGAAGATTTCTTAATTTTCTTTTTATATGGCTTTAATTGAGAGATCTAGACTTCTATGAATATGTAACTTTTAATTGCTAATTTGCAGCTGCGAGCATATGTGTATTGTAAGTTAATAATGTTAAAATTTGTTGATAGATGTTTGTTGTTCATGAACATGCTTTTTTGTGAATATATTCAATTGTATGTTCATAAACAAGTTCATTTAAATCAACCAAACATATTTGATTATATGTTCAAATATGTTTGTTTAAAGTTAATGGACAAACAATGCTTGATTACATCCAATTTTAAATGAGTCAAGCTCCAATCGATGAATACCCTAAATTCCTTAAACACATGCTGATGTCAAAGCAAGTTAAACAAACATGAATATAGGTTTATTCTATTTGTTGAAGCTCGGCTTGTTTACAGCCCTAAAAATAAAATAAAAAAGTTCCAGTGCAGTAAAAGATTTCAGAAACATTTTTAAAACTGCTGCTATGGTAGCGAATAGCCATGACTAAAGTCTGTACTTATTATCTCCGGTAGAGGATTGTTACCTTACCAGTTTCAAGTAGGTGACTGCTGTTCGACAGCAACTGGAACATTCTATATGCATCTTTTCCATATCTTTTCAACACAACAGACTCCACCTGCAGTATAAGATATGTTAATGGTCATTTAACAGAATGAAGCATGAGCAACTCAACTATTTTAATCAACACTGAAATCAGAAAAACCTCCTCATTCTGAGCCAGTTCAATTATTTTCTTGAAATCTGAAAAAGAACAACAATGGGTCACCAGAAATATAAAACAAATTAATCAGCCAAAACAAAGATAGACAGAGAAAAAAAGGCATACAAACCGATACTATATGACTCATTGGCTGCTATTACAAACGGAGGGCAACTCAACTGAATCAGGGAGGCTCTAACGCGATCAAAGGTTATATTGCGACCTTCTTCGCTCTTTATAACTTCTTCATAAATGGAACTCAGAGAGTGGAACTGTAAAATGCAGACCATCAATAATAGAAGCGGTAATAAAAAAAATGTTGTATGAACCAAAGGAATAATCCTTTTATCCTTTTTATGTTGAACTAAGTTGACTTCCCTTGCCTAATTATGCCAAAATAGCTATGTATGGCTTTTGAGGTATATTGCTTACAATATAGCCAAAGCATCTTGCACCTCCTCTTTTCACATATTATTAAGATCTATGTTACTTGGAATAAAGTGCGGGTGAAAGATACGATATGCGTCCAGCACAGGCATGTTCATTTTTTCCAAGTTCTATATATTTGGAGTCAGGCATGAGTACTACAAGAAAATGAGAAGTCAGAGAATCATGATTAAGATTAATTTAAAAACTCCATGGATGTATAAGTAGTTTCTTAAAGCTGAAAAATAAAGCATCTCCTACTGTAACTGCAAGTTATAATTTCTATACATGACAGAATAACTCAAGTCCTCGCACTAATACCGTATTAGATCCATATTTGCATTATAGAAATAGATAAACATATCTAAATATCATTTTGGCAGTAAAATAAATACATAATTGTAGGTGCTCAAAAAATAAATAGCAAGCATATTGAAGATTAGCTGACCTGAATTCTCTGTTTTAACCTTCTTCTCTGCGCTTCTAGTTGCTTCGAGCATCGCTTTTAAGACAGTAACAGCTCCATCATCCAGGAGCGTCTTCACATTCTCGATGCAAGCCTAGAGATTGAGCACAACTTACACTAGGATTATACATAGTACTAGCAATATCTTTCATTTACATATATGAAACACAATGCTTAGTACTAGCAACATTTAGCCCATTCCTATTATCTCGACTTCATAACTTACACTAGGATTATACATAATTAGCATGAACAACTTCATAACTTACACTAGGATTATACATGATTAGCATGAAGCCTATCATCCCTCGAGTGATAAAAACACTAAAATATTCTAGAATATCAAAACTTCAAAAGTATAATTTAAATGACAAATCATAAGGTAAACTGACCCTATGCCTAAGACGTCGAATAAATTCCTCGAAATTAGCACGCCAAAGAACTACTTGCTCATCTGTAGCTCCATATTCTGTCTCTGACTCTAAGGCATCACGCTTGCGCTATAAAAGATGGGGAAATTTCAAATTAGCATACAAATAAATGAATCACATCAAATGAAATGTCTTAAGACAACCTTCTCGCCAGGTGTCACCATAGGGGAACTGGTCTCATCCTTCCCTTCAGCAGCAGGTTCAGTTTGAGTGAGAAGCAAAAATCTTAATGCTTCAGGAGGTTGCACAACACGTTGCTCTAATGTTTCTTGTTCTTCAAGAATCTAAAAGGATATATTGAAGATACTCATCAGAGTCTCATTTACTCGGGATAAAATTTAGATGGTACAAGTTGATATCAAGAGGCCGTTCACATTAAATAGAATATGAATGGCCATAAGCCTACAATATTTGCTTTAATGGAAAAATAATCATTTATACTTGTTATGCTTGCTTAGTTCATGTGACAACAGCTCTACATAAACCCACATCAACATAACAGAATATTTTACTCCGGAATTACCTGACCCGAAGTCACTAAAAACCAAATTAAGGATGCATTATACCAGTATATAGGGGCCAAAACATTTCAGGAACGCAGAAACAAGACAGTTGATTTTGATTATGAACTAGTGTTACATAAGTATGTTTCAATAGTAGTCCTTAAGGGTAGGACTGTACCGTATAGACATTGTTTCCAATACCAATCCTCTAATGATGTTTCTATCACCAGAGAAAACCACTTGCCTGGTCCAACTTTTGCACAAAAGCAATAACATACTAATTTGACACGGATCAATAGATACCTTGCCAGATTTAGCTGCTCGCTTTCTTGCATTAAGTTCTTGTTTAGTTGGGTTAGTGAGAACTGGTTCAGAAGCAGGACACTGTTCAATAAAACGAGCGTTCAGTAACTCAATAATGGCTTCCTAGACAGCATCCAAAATTACATCATCTCCTAGAAAAAATATAAAAATATATTAAATGGACATGAAAATTGAATTACGGTTATATTAATCACTTAGCTCAAGCGCAGTATCCAATCAATCCCTAACTCCTTTCAACCAAAAGAGTAACTTTAGTATATATTGAAGAAATAGAAAGTAAACATGGAAGTCTGAAAAAGTTGCCTTCATTTTGACTCGATTTTGTTCAATCAGACATTTGTTTGAGGGTAAGCCTTCCATGCTGAAGCAAAGCCTCCAACAGATCAACATACTACAAAAGCAAAGCACAAAATATAATTAAGTTTTGAATAATCTATGTTTATTTGGGCTCTCTTTGATTGATGGCTTTTATATTTACCTTAGTTTTTCTACTTTTCAAATTCCTTTCCTTTTTGTTTTCGATGAATTTTTAAAGAGGAAAAAAGGAACACGTAGCAAAAGCGCCAACTAAACAGAGCTTTAGTCTTAGTTTTACAATATTAGTAGTAATGAAGAGTTTACTTGTTCATCAAGATTCTGGGAGACAATAGTCAAGAAGTTAGGAAATCTCCACCCATGGAATATGTTATCGAACAATTCTACGTACTCAGTGTTAACTTTTGCAGCATCTTCATGCTCAACTGCATATTCCATTGCAAATTAATTTAAACAAACAAATTAAAAACAAAGGCAGAATATTACCAAATTCAATTCAATTTTGAGATTCAGAACCATTTGCGATCCCATTGCCAAATAATCCAGAGAGAGGGAATTAAAACTAAGCCCTCTTTTTCCTACATTCATAGCAGCCAAACAGAAACATACATATATAAAAATATAATTGAAAAACGAAGAAGAATTAGAGAACCAATTGTTCGAGAACAAAAGCTTAAACGCAATTGTGTTGAATCAAAACAAGTAAGCTGTTCTTGACTTGAGAAGAAGTGAGCTCTGTGAATCGGACTGTGGCTTGAAGAGTTAACGGTTCTCTCCGGAGAAGACACTCACAGACTCTCTGTAAATAAACAAAGAAAACAGAATTGAACTTTAAACTGCCACCATCATTAGTTATCAGAAATGTTTATATAAATGCATAAATAAATGTGCACAATTATAGGTATAAACAGAATGCGGAAGAGAGAAAGACTTAGGTTTATTTACAGCGACGAGATCGCCGAAGTGAGTGATGATTAGATGGACGGCGTATTTGATGCCGAACGGAGTCGCCATCGCTCGCACTTTTTCCGGGAGTGGTTTCTTTTGCTAACTAGACTGAGGAAGAGGGAAACAAAGAGTGGTTTTTTTCGTCACTACTTGCAAGATCCAGGAGAAGTTTTATTAGGACTTACGTAATTAATTAGAAAAGTATTTTAGAAGCTTCTACACAGGATTTGATGCCGGTTGCTGTCAGTAGATTATCTTTTTTTTTATAATAAGAATAATTATTTTTTTATGATATGTTATTTAATTTTATGATATATTTATCTCTGTCTTTGTGACACGTGTTTTCTTTGTCTTTTGGTAGCTGACGTTTTTTTTTTTTTTTTGTTTATCTTTTTTTACATGATTGGATTTGACATCGTCACAATTAATTAAAATGACACTTATTTGTTATCCTACTAATATTCCATGCTTTATACCCTTTGATTGATTTAGATATGTGTTTTACGCTCGTAGATAGTTTTTTCACGTCGCTTGACTCTGATTTGTGATTTGTCAGCGATCTTTCAGTAGTTTCATCCCCTTTTGTGGTTCATTTGTCGATATAGCCAGATTTGTTCGTATATTTATTTTATTCGAGCATTGGTTATGTTTTTTAACCTTTTCTTTTATGTTTCTTGTTTGATCTAGGTTATTAATTTTTGTGTTAATAGTTATAGGATAATGTTCTAATTATAATTTAGTTTATATTTACTGTTATACTGATAAATCTTTATTGTAATTCTGTATTTTTATTTTTAATATAATTAGTAGCTTTCTATTAAAAAAACTTAAATACAATTGTTTATAATTTAAAGAGTAAAGTTATATATAATTAAAACATTATAATTTATATGTTAAATAGTCACTTATTATTATTTTTATTGATTATCTTCAGTCTTCTTTATCCAATAATTTCAATTATACTATAGGAAGGAGGGGTATTTTAAACCAAATATTATGGAAGGAAGAGGCAAACAAAGAGTGGTTTCTTACGTTACTATGGTTTAGGGTACGAGTTTTATTAGCACTAACTAATATTTAAAATGCTTATTTTTAGAAACTATTTCGACCGTGGTCCATAGCTCGCATTCGGCTGTAGATCAAGAGGTCACCGGATGGATGTCGGTTGGGCCCTTGGACTAATGTTTTCTCTGGCCTTTTTTTCTTACTTCATTTTTACCCTTTATAGTTTGGGCTACAAACTTGGGGCGGCAGCTGGATGCCATAAGCCTACTTGCATAGAAGGTATAAATATAATTTTTAGAAAAAAAAAGTATTTCAATTTAGGGTAAATTTTACATTTAGTACCTAAACTATCAGTTATAGATCATTTAGTACCTAAACTTTTATTTTTTTAAATCAGATATAAAGTTTAGTTTTTATTTCATTTTATTCCAGTCGTGTATATCCTAAAATTTTGACAAGTGACTAAAATGTAATTTCTAAATGTTTGTGACCAAAGTAGAAACTTATAAAAATTTCAAGGACCAAAGTGGTAATTTTCCCCAAAAAAATTTAATCCATAAAGAACCGTCCATCCTTGAATATGGAGTTTATATTGAATTCAGATTTTGATCTGAAGTTTGCATAAAAAGCTATTCAGTGATAAAGTTTAATAAAATATTTGGATAATCAGATCGAATGAGATGTTTACAAAAATTTGAAGGAAGGTAGTTTGAGGTTAGAAATATTATTATGATATTTTTAAACAACAAAATTTAATACAGATAAATAGGATTAAGGGGATTTTCCATGTTAAAGTGGGATAGTGGATTTAAGTGACTAAATTGAGATTTTGGAAAATTGAAAGGGCAAAGATGGAAATCAATAAATATGTTTTTTATATTTATTTAATATTATGAAAATGGTGATGAAAGGATGACATGGAGATGAATATCAAGATTCATTAAGGGTAGATTGGACTTTTGGGACTAAAATGAATTTTAAATTTATTTTAATTAGAATTTATACAATTGTACATAGATATTTTGAGAGATTTATCTAGAAATTGTTTTCTTCTTCCTATATATGGCGTGAATCATGGAAGAAAAAGGGGCAAGGTAAGTTTTCTTCATTTTCTTCAATTTTAGCCATTTTCTTTTGATTTTTTGATTAAGTTATGAAATAGAAAAATGATCTATATTAAATCCTCTATAATTTGATATGAATATTACATGGTTTTTATGTTTGAATCAATGTTTGATTTTTAGAGTGGATGATGAACAAGTTGGATTTTGATTATTTAAGGACAGCCTTTTGTGTTGTTGATATTATGTGTTGTTTTTAAGCTTGAATAATGATCAAAATCACTTAGAATTGCTTATATACTATTTGGTCATTATGAGAATTTCATGGAAATTAGTTGTTTGATTCCAAGTTGATATGGAATTGAGTTGAATTGCATGAAAACAATGATAGGATCTTAAATTCTTTCATATGTGTTCATTTGATAAGCTAATAGAATTAGTAAATAAGCTAAGGATGCAAATTAGTTAAATTTGCCTAAATTGGTGATATGGACAGTAAGTTTATAAAATCACCATAAATTCTACAAGAATTATTAGAAGATAATTTTTATAACGTTGAATTTGTATATCAGTGATAACTCCGTAAAAGACCGTGTTCTGGGTCCTTTTACTTAGGTTATTGTTTTCCTAAAAGCCATTTGATATGATATCGATTATGTGTTCCGAGTCATATATGAATGTGCCCGATCGTGATTCTAATAAGAAGTCCACAATACTTTGAATGTAATCTGAAATTTACAAACAACGTTATAAAATAGAAATGGATAAATAAAATATGGAAGTAGAAAGATGAAATATATGTTGAAATGGATTAGCAGCATATGAAGAGTGATGCTTGTGGTTAAGGAAAATAAAGGATGAAATGGTTGGTGAAGATAGTAGGGAGTTGGTGTGTAGTATGAAGGATCCAAGGAAATGGATTGTGACCCTCTAATTATATATGAGTTAGGAACCAACAATATAATAAGGTGGAAAGGTAGAAGTGGTAGGATATGGAACATGACCAACTAGCTATAGATGAGCTAGGAACAAACGCTATAACAAAAGGAAATGGATGAAGACTACAAGACTATCTTGAAGCCGATAAAGTTCTACAAGAGAACATGAATGAAAGTAACCTCTCAAATATGTTTTATTTATTCAAATGTGTGTCTACAAATGATCCCAAAAGTGTCTATTTATAGTGTTTCTAAGCAGCATATGAAAATACTCAAAAGATGAAAACATTCTCATCAATTTAGCAATAAAATGCACTTGAATGCTTTGTCTTCTTATCTTCAAGGTTGGTTGAATATTATAGATCATTTTGGGGATGAATCTAGACAATTTGAAGCTAAATTTGGCCTTAATTTCGTCCAAGGGGTGGAAGACTCTTGCTATTCCATGCTGAAAATTGTCTTAACAAGTGAATTAAATCACCCTTCATTGCATGCTCTCTTGAAGAATATGAACAACCCTTGAATTTAAATGATAACAATCAGTTTTGAATGCCTTTAATGGGTGAATTAAGAGTCCTTCAATGGCTTGTCACTTGGCTGAAGTTGAAAAGACTCTCCCTTGGCTCAAACTCATCCAAATCATCCATGCATAAAATTCCCGTAACAAAATTCCAGCATGCGCTGTCTTCAATAAATCGATCATATCTCAAGCTCCCGATATCAGATTAAGGTGATTCAAAAGGCGTTGTAAAGATAAGAGATAGAGGAAAATTTAAAATTTATTTCTAGAATCAAACACATCTGTATCGCATCCAGAATTGGAAGACATTCTGACTGACATTCTTGCATATGATGAAACCGTTCAACTTCTCTCATGCACCTAGACACAAAGGTGAATTTTATTCAATAATTAATTGAAAACATGCATGAAACAATTAAGAGTTAATTTAATAAATGAACTAGTTTGATGAATGAACTAGTTTGATTAATGAAATACTTCCCTAAATGAACTAAATGATTTAAATGCAAGGCATGCTTGAATGAACAACACACTTATTAAATGCAATGAATGTTATGCAAACTTCAAATTCTCATGCATATTCATGCATAAGCAACATAAAGTGTTCCTCCTTATTATTAATTCTTCATCACGTTCCAAACTTGATGTAAACATACTCTCCATGGCTGCTTGAAACTCCTAAGCCCTTGCTAGTGTGATGGGGCCACTTGGGTACTTCTCTGGGTCTTTGCTATTGGCGATCATATCAGTCCCTCCCTCTTTAAGGTGATTTGTCCCCAAATCATCACCTATATAATAAGGAGACAAGTCAGCAACATTGAAGGTTGAACTAACATTAAAATCACCTGGAAGATCTAATTGATAGGCATTGTCATTGATCTTCTTGACTATTTGGAATGGTCCATCTCCTCGAGGCATTAATTTGGACTTTCGTTGAGCCAAAAACCTTTCTTTCCTCATGTACAGCCACACCC